TCTCTCTCTCTCTCTCTCTCTCTCTCTCTCTCTCTCTCTCTCTCTCTCTCTCTCTCTCTCTCTCTCTCTCTCTCCCATTATTCCATCCATCCATCCAAATCAACATACATACAAACATACATGCATACATAGATGCATTTAAAGAAACGTACATACATGAATCCATACAAATTAACATACATACAAACATATATGAATAAATACAAACATACATATATCCATACATAAAAAACATGCATACATACAAATTAAAATGCATGCATATATTCAAATAAACATACGTATATACTTAAAAACATACATACATGCATACGTACGTGCATACCTACATATAAACTAACACATGCATACATTCAAAACGAACATACATACATACAAATTAACATACATGCATATATTCAAACAAGCATACGTGCATACATAGACACATACATATATGTAACTTTAACGAAATCGCTTCCTTCATACATTAAAGATTTCATTAAAAAACTGAAATCTGTTATACAACTTTTCGTGACCTTTGAAATAAAGATGTTAGAAGCGCTTTTCGCACCAGTTATCATTTTAGTTTTCGGAGCCAAAATCAAGTTTTTAAGTAGTTTATAGCAGTTTTTGAAATATATATTTGAACTGATGTAATGAAGATAACTTTTCGTAACATTGTACACTTTTCTCAATTTTTTGTTGCTTTGCGCACTTTTTTCAAATTTCTTCGTAACTTTATTGCAACTTGAAATATCTTTTCAAAACTTTTCGCATTTTAGTCATACCCTTTAAGTATATTTATTTGATTGTGAGGTTCACATTTTGTACGTGGGGAGAGAAACATGATTGTTGTGCTTGTGAGCCATGAAAGGCCTTAAACAAGTACTACCCTAATGGGAGAAAAAGCTCAATTAATACCCCTGAATCTACTTAGTATCATTGTGATGTGTCAAATTTTACAAACTCTTAGAAGCTTTGGTTAAATGAATTGTATCAAAGTCAACTTAATTAAAGTAGAAAGGGATGGAAACAGTGATATGATTATTTTCATTTCATCTCTGAACGTCAATGGAAATTCGTTCCACGCGACGAGACTTGACCAAGTCATATGCTATGGTACAAGGTTATGACATAAGACCCTTTCCAAAATAAATCGGTTAAAGAGGGAAACTTGGCAATAATTGATTATTAAAATGAATGTTAATTACGGCATGATTAACTGTCTTGACAAGCAAAAATTCTTCGGAGAAGATTTAGGAAACATTTGAGTCTGATTGGTTAATAGAAACTTATGGTTAATAGGAACTTAAGGGGGTAACTCTGTAAGGAATTAAGGCTTTTGCTTTGGATAAATTCTTCAGTCTTCAATCTTTCTTGCGAGAAGTTAGACGAGACTCCGGATAATAGAAAGTACGTTTTTGCTATTGAGTAAGGGGCCGGATAGTTGCCTCAGATAGTAGAAAAACTATGCGTTTGAGGTTCATACATACATACATGCATGCATGCATGCATGCATACATACATACATACATACATACATACATACATACATACATACATACATACATACATACATACATACATACATACATACATACATACATACATACATACATACATACATACATACATACATACATACATACATACATACATACATACATACATACATACATACATACATACATACATACATACATACATACATACATACATACTCTAGTGCTAACTTGAAAAAAGATATCATTCATGTATTAAGATCAAGATCCACTTTTTATAGTAATGAATATCATTTCATCTGTACATAATGAACCCTCTTCGTCAAGACCTAATAATCAGCTTATTGGCTTTTATACACTGATTTGAATTCACCTTACTATACTGTGATATATGTAGTAGATTTGTGGTTATGATGAATAAAGGAAGACAGGGCTCTAAATGCGCACATTTACATGATTAAAGATTAATTATTTCAAATGGACCGTATATGCTGACCACTGAACGTCGTTATTTTTCATTACATTTAGAGAAGCACATAATCCATTCGGGCCACTAGCCTTCAAAATTGTACTACCTTGGCAACACGTAACTCTCTGACTGTCCCCAGTCCACTTAATTTGAGACCTTCACCCTAGACCAGTGGCCAGAAGTGGCAATGTCATAAAATTAATGTAACTACCCAGCTCTAAAGAGTTTGCTTTCATTAAGATTCGTATACAAATTAAGCCTTTAATGTTGCAGAGTGTATTAAAAAAGATGAATGAACAGGCATTGAGATTAAGGAGTTCAGTAGTACAATACATAACGCCAAAACACCTTAACTCTGTGACATACAAAATTAAAAATCAAATAAAAAATAGCAAATAGTGGATGGGTAAAAAAAATATAAAATATTGTCCTTTATGTACAAGCTTCATTTTACAGTGAGAGAAAAATGTAAATAAACTTAAGTAAAGGGTTTCATCAATATTCTGCCTAAAGGGCAGGTGCGTTTTATATCCAGGGGAGTCTGATAGGCTAGGTTTTAGTTTACATAGTGAAATATGTAGAATAATTTGACTGACGGCTCTTGTATTCTCCTTAAAGACCAGATATGTTTTATACTACGGTATCCAATAAAGCATGATTCAGGTTAGAGTGAAACATAAGGATAAACTTAATTTGAAGTTTAGTGTACATGCATCTGAAATCTCTTTTGCCCTATCCTTTTACCATAATAGCTAATTTTATCAGCCAATCAGATGAAGTCTTATATATGTGCATTTGTGACACTGAGCAATATGACTGAAGTGCATAAATGAATGCCTAACGATTTGAGGCACTTTCTTGTTTATAAAAGTTACATTTCTTTTGTCTAGATCAAAGGTAACCAGAACAGGAACACTAAGCTGTTATTATCAGACGTTCTCCTATGATAGGATTATTGCTAACCAAGTTTCTGATATGTTAACTCTATCTGCACCTTGGAGGATTGGTCAGATATTTATGTGCTTTTTGGTCTGTGAATTTCATTGTCAATCCACAAATAAAAAAATAAAATAGATACAGTCATACATACAATTATATTGTTATAAAGGATATATAGTTTAATAATTGAAAACAAAAAATATACAATTTTATTTAAAACATTTGTATTAAGGCCATTAGGATACAAAGTATCTAATTTATGAATCCAGTAAGGTTATTGTATGAGTCTCGTCATGTCTCCATGCGCAACATATATTGGCATGAAAGAAAAATCGAGTAGACAGTGATTATTGGTGTTAAAATGTGTAGAACTATTTTATGAAAACAGAGGATCTTTACAGTTTCTAATATGAAAGCGATGATTATTAATTCTTTTAAAAACTTGTTGAAGTGTTTGTCGGACATATTGCATATTACATTTTTTACATGTTATCAAATCAATCACGTTAGTTGATACGCAGTTAGTGTTATAACGTAGAGAAAATGTCTCTTTTGAATTAGCGCTACTAAAAGGGCCACTTTCTCTTATGTTTGCACATTGAGAGCACCTGTGGCTATTACATTTAGATGACGAGAATTGTCTTTTTTATTTTCTGCATGTTTAGTTCTAATAAAAAAAACTTGCAAATTATTGGGTCTCTTATAAGCAAGAATATGCTTATTGTTGTAAAGTGATTTTGCGCTGATTTTATTTTATAAGTTTAGCAGACTCCAATATTTATTTATTATAAGACCTATTTTAGGCAATAAAAAATTGTATTGTATTGTAAAAGGAACTATATTTTTCTCCATTGTACAATTTGCTGTATTTAAAGCCTCATGTTGGGTAAGATTACGGATTTTGTTCAGCGAAGACTCAATGTTGTGTGTAGGATAATTTCTGCTTTGGAAATATGTTTTTAAATCATTAAAAGAAATTTTTAATTTACAATCATCTGAAATAATGCGTCGGTATCTTTTAGCCTGGCTATATGGTATACCGTTTCTACATGACATTTGATGGCATGAAGAATATTCCACATACAGGTGGATATTAGTTTCTTTGACATGAATATTTGTAGAAATAGTGTTATCAATATTTTTAATTACATTTACATCTAAAAATGAAACATGCATACTTGATGCAGTATAAGTACATTTAATTGTCGGATAAAAATGATTTAGGCGATTAATGAATTTCTTCAGTTCTTAAGTTGAATGGTTCCAGATCATAAATATATCATCTAAAACTCTAAACCAGACAGATGAATTAAACTTTTCTTTTTGAAGGAAATATTTCCTAATTTACACATGAAAAGAGAAGCGTATGAAGTAACCATAGGACAACCCATTGCTGTACCCATTACTTAAAATGTAATTTGTATTATTAATCCCAATCCCAATTGTCAATCAACCTTATTCAAACAATTAGTTTGTTAAAATTTGAACACTGTTCCTGCATGATAGAGACAAGGGGAACATACAACTAGAAGGGACTCATAAAAAAGCAATTTTCCACTGCAACGTCTTCTCCCTAGTACGCTGTTGTACTTTCAATGTTAAGCTTACACAGTATTCTCTAAATCAATTGTCTAAACTATTTTCGGCATATACACAATGCACAGCTGTTAAACGTTATTAGTTATTTGCCATTACATACGAAGGGAGACAACTCATGAAATACATTTTATGTCGCTAAAACAAAGTTATGAAATAGCTGAAAAAACTATTGCGAACTATAGCATATATCTAAGAATGTTCCCTCTGGCATGAAGAAACAAAAGAAGATTGGAAATTAAATAACTTAAAATAACTATAAATATTGACTACTGTTATTGCATCCCTTGACGGAAAAGGTAGAGGGCACTCAAATAAAGACTCGGGTTCGAACAGAGTAAATCTGGAGTTACAGAATAGCACATTAGAACGTGGGACTGAGTATGCGACAACCTCAGCATGTTTCAGAATAACACAACAGAATATGGAACCTATCATGCGACTACCTCAGTTACGATTTTTGAAAAGCACCGCAGAAAGTGGGAATCTGAGTATGCGACTGCCTCAGTCATGACTTCTCAGGTGGCATAGTGGTTAGAGCGTCCGCTTCGGATGCGGAAGATTGCGGGTTCTATACCCGGTCGAGTCATATCAAAGACTTGCAAAAATGGTACTAGCAGCTGCCTCGCTTGGAGCTAAGCATTAAGAGGTTCGTGTTAGGACTAGTTGGCGTGGTGTCAGAAAAATGATGATTGGGTGAGACATCATGCCACATGTCTGCGGTATGATGCCCCAGTACTAGACATCACTATAAACTGCTACAGTGCAAACATCGTAGCAATGTGACTGAAAACTTGTTAAAGCTACGTCAAAAATCATGATCTCATCACATCATCACATTACATCACATCAATCATATTTTTAAATAGTACAATAATATGTAGGACTATTTAAAAATAGTCTCAACCATATTTAAAATACGCATTTTGAATATGGGACTCTTGAGTGTGAGACTACCTCAATCGTGTTTTAAACAGCGCAATTGAGTATGGTTCTTTTGAGTGTGAGACTACCTCAATCATGTTTTAAACAACGAAATTGAATATGGGTCTTTTGAGTGTGAGACTACCTCAATCATGTTTTAAACAGCGCAATTGAATATGGGTCTTTTGAATGTGAGACTACCTCAATCCTGTTTTAAAAAGCGCAATTGAATATGGGTCTTTTGAATGCGAGACTACCTCAATCATGTTTTAAACAGCGCAATTGAATATGGGTCTCTTGAGTGTGAGACTACCTCAGTATTGTTTTGAACAGCGCAATTGAATATGGGTCTCTTGAGGGTGAGACTACCCCAATCATGTTTTAAACAGCGCAATTGAATATGGGTCTCTTGAGTGTGAGACTACCTCAGTATTGTTTTGAACAGCGCAATTGAATATGGGTCTCTTGAGTGTGAGACTACCCCAATCATGTTTTAAACAGCGCAATTGAATATGGGTCTCTTGAGTGTGAGACTACCTCAGTATTGTTTTAAACAGCGCAATTGAATATGGGTCTCTTGAGTGTGAGACTACCTCAGTATTGTTTTGAACAGCGCAATTGAATATGGGTCTCTTGAGTGTGAGACTACCCCAATCATGTTTTAAACAGCGCAATTGAATATGGGTCTCTTGAGTGTGAGACTACCTCAATCATGTTTTAAACAGCACAATTGAATATGGGTCTCTTGAGTGTGAGACTACCTCAATCATGTTTTAAGCAGCGCAATTAAATATGGTCTCTTGAGTGTGAGACTACCTCAATCATGTTTTAAACTGCTCAATTGAATATGGGTCTCTTGAGTGTGAGACTTCCTCAGTCATGTTTTAAACAGCGCAATTGAATATGGGTCTCTTGAGTGTGAGACTACCTCAGTATTGTTTTGAACAGCGCAATTGAATATGGGTCTCTTGAGGGTGAGACTACCCCAATCATGTTTTAAACAGCGCAATTGAATATGGGTCTCTTGAGTGTGAGACTACCTCAGTATTGTTTTGAACAGCGCAATTGAATATGGGTCTCTTGAGTGTGAGACTACCCCAATCATGTTTTAAACAGCGCAATTGAATATGGGTCTCTTGAGTGTGAGACTACCTCAATCATGTTTTAAACAGCACAATTGAATATGGGTCTCTTTAGTGTGAGACTACCTCAATCATGTTTTAAGCAGCGCAATTAAATATGGTCTCTTGAGTGTGAGACTACCTCAATCATGTTTTAAACTGCTCAATTGAATATGGGTCTCTTGAGTGTGAGACTACCTCAATCATATTTTTAAACAGATCAATTGATTATGGGTCTCTTGAGTGTGAGACTTCCTCAGTCATGTTTTAAACAGCGCAATTGAATATGGGTCTCTTGAGTGTGTGACAACATCAGTCATGTTTTAAAAAGCGCAATTGAATATGGGTCTTTTGAATGCGAGACTACCTCAATCATGTTTTAAACAGCGCAATTGAATATGGGTCTCTTGAGTGTGAGACTACCTCAGTATTGTTTTGAACAGCGCAATTGAATATGGGTCTCTTGAGTGTGAGACTACCCCAGTCATGTTTTAAACAGCGCAATTGAATATGGGTCTCTTGAGTGTGAGACTACCTCAATCATGTTTTAAACAGCACAATTGAATATGGGTCTCTTGAGTGTGAGACTACCTCAATCAAGTTTTAAGCAGCGCAATTAAATATGGTCTCTTGAGTGAGACTACCTCAATCATGTTTTAAACTGCTCAATTGAATATGGGTCTCTTGAGTGTGAGACTACCTCAATCATATTTTTAAACAGATCAATTGAATATGGGTCTCTTGAGTGTGAGACTTCCTCAGTCATGTTTTAAACAGCGCAATTGAGTATGGGTCTCTTGAGTGTGTGACAACATCAGTCATGTTTTAAATACCTCAAAATAATGTGAGACTAAGAGTATTTGACTACCAATGTGTTCTGTGACATATACTGTGAATGAAAAACTTTCACAAAAAATCATTGTAACTGTACTTGGATTAACTTGGATAGTTTAGTCAGGTTGTCGGATGAGAGAAAATACACTTGTATATGACGCATTGTGTTGCATATTTCAGCGTAAATTTAAATGCTAATTTTTGGGTAGATCTTTTATATACTTACCATTTTCTGTAATTTTTGTGAACAACTTAGTCCCTTATTGAACAAAACTATTTCTTGCTGGAGCTGTTTCGAATATCTACCTAACTGACATTTTATTTCCCTTTTCTTCATATATAATTCATTCTGAGAGAGTTTACACTGATTTTCAAGACAAGATTCGCATAGTAAAGAGAGCATAATTATTTTTATTCATTTCTACAACACTAAGTGTTTTTCATTATTTTCACAAGTATCAATACTTTCCAAAAATCAAAATTTCCTTCACCCTTACATTCATGAACTGGGAAATGGTGATCTTGTTTTCCACTAAAAAATGATATAATGTTTCCATAGACAAAAGTCCTACTGTTTCCGTAGAAAATCGTCGTTTGTCAGCAACCAATAAATCCATAAATTGGTACACTAGAGATATAGTTGAGTTTACAGCGATATCAGAAATGAATGCTCATTATTTAATGTTGTTCAAGGATTTTCAACTTACAGTCACATACTAATTGTAGTATGGAGCGATGTTTCCTTTTAGCAGATAGATGAAAACCAAAAAAAAAATATTACACACTTTGCAATACTATATACGAGATTTTTCAGATACTGTAAACAATTCTAAAGGAAACCATTTTCCAAAAATGAATTCACATTGAACAGAGATTTAAATTAGCTTTATTTAAAGTATTTATCTTTTTATGATAAAACGGTTGTGAATGTACAGAATGTCACAGAGGTAGTTGACATAATGCTAGTTTGTTAACAGAGATGATATAAATGCTATACATTTGAATGTTTGATACGATCATCTTAGGAATGGGTGGTTCAACAGTTCTGAAGCCGTCGGTCTCTTTGATGCTTCTTGCTGGAAAGTTTGACTTAGCAAGTCCTCTACATCTGGGGACACCTTGGATGGCAATTGATATTTGGGATATACTCCTAGGCCGATCTGGAAAATGGCCGCATTTGTCTCAAACTCGTACCATGGAGGTCTCATTGTGATCATCTCTACAACCGTGCACCCAATGCTCCTGTAATACAATTCCAGTATTAAATTTGATTGATTGACAATAATTCTAACAGACGACCGGCTGTTACACAAGTAAAACCATTTATGGTAATTGCATTAAATGGAAATGATAAGATGTATTATGAAACCTTAAATGTTTATATAAGGCAAAAATCATAGGTTGATTTTTTATTTATTTTTTTTATTTATTATTATTATTATTATTATTATTATTATTATTATTATTATTATTATTATTATTATTATTATTATTATTATTATTAAGCTAGTTGATGCAAATGGTTATTTCATCGTAGGTTATTATCTTGATGTAAACCATGCCATTTTGCCTGCACGCTCTGTTCATGAAAAAAAAAAATCACATTAACCGGACGTTGTAAATTTACTTGCTTGTTTTTTCTTAATAACTGTGAACGATATAGGACGTGCCTAAGAGGTTTAATTACCAGCACACAAAAATTCCACAGCAATAAGATAGCGACAAAATTAAACACACACATTTCGCCTTTAATTTGCAGTCGATTAAAAATTAAAATGTCTGACTAGGCTTTAGGTCTTTAGAGAAGTCTACGTAATGGATAACCGATACTGAGATGTCGGATCAAGTCTGACCTTCAGCTGATCGCGTATATATATATATATATATATATATATATATATATATATATATATATATATTCCTTGTCGTAGGGAAAATGGTCAGTTTTATTAATTTTGATATGGTTATATTACAGACATCAAAATGATATACAAACCAAATGTCCGCACTACGGCCGTATTTCTCTCCCCTGACTCGCTCTGGGGACATCCAATAAGGCGTTCCGACGTGAGTATTACAGTGCGTGTTGCTATTTGTTAGAGTATGGAGTTCCTTGGATATTCCGAAATCCCCTAGCTTAGCATTCATTTCAGAATCAAGAAGCACATTGGATGCTGCAACAAACAATGCACCATACTAGTTATGCAGATTTTGACAATAACGTGTTTATAAAATAACAAAATGTGTTAATTCTCATATGTTTATGTTGGATACAAAATAAATTCCCTACCCCACTTCCATTTTCTTAAATCATCTACCTTCATTTGGGTCATATGAAATGGTTACCAGGCAACACACAAAGCCTACAGGACTGATCCATCGTAGTGGGTAAAATAGATAATGACTTAAATTCAGGCACAAAATATTATAATCTCGTGCGACAAATACCTGAATTCATTATTCTTTGTGTAGCCAAAATATTTTGTTATAGTTGTAATTTGTCCATTAATTTTACGTGAGATACCTGTGATCCCATTATTTTAAGACTGACCGGTCCATAAAAATAAACATATTTTTAAACACCCGTTTAAAGATCATTTAAAAGCTTTAACCATGAGTCATGAACAACTCGCCTATACCAAATTTTAGCAATTCTAATGACAAAAATGATGATTTATTTGTCAAATCATTTCTTGTTTCTCTGAACTTT